CATGACCAGAATTCGCTAGAACTTATATTGGGGGTATTTTAGGGTGGAAGCCTATACAGGCTTTTGGGGATTCTTACTAATTGTAGTCATACCCTTAAACCACTCATGGCATGCCTGCATGCATGCCTGCATGTATGCGTATGTATGTATGTCCGTGTGTGTGTGTGTGTGCTCAAGTACTGTAGGAATATGTATGTTTGTATGTGTGCACGTATGCATGTATGTATGTATGTATGTATGTATGTATGTGTGTATGTATGTATGTATGTATGTATGTATGTATGTATGTTATGTACGTATGATGTATGTATTTATGCATGCATGCATGCATGCATGCATGCATGCATGCATGCATGCATGCATGTATGTATGTATGTATGTATGTATGTATGTATGCTTAAAAGCTGCATGCCAATGTATGCCAGTGTACATGCATCTGGAAGCCCAGATTGTGCAGTCATATGCGGATAAAGAAGCCAGGTTTTCGCCGGCTTGTGTAGAGTCGAAGAGCCATGGTGGAGCCTGCGACGAAGTTCAAAAAGCTCTTGAAGCTCCTGCGTATAGAGCTTCTCCGCAGTGCCGAGCCCTCAGTGGAGAAAAGGATGCAGAATGTGGGGTTTGGTTAGGTTCATTGAAAGTTTATTGTTTACTCAGCAAGGAGACGGGCGAAGGGGAAACTCGAGGATTGCCTGAATACCGCCAGCCAAGATTCGGCGCCCTGCTGGGATTTTGGCCGTCGTGGGTGCGGTCGGACTGATCACTCTGAAGGTCTTGAGGCTGATACTGCAGATCTGGGTCCGAGCACAAGTTGCGATTGGACGCCGAGAACGGAGCTCCATACCGGCAGGCAGATCTTGGCGGTTGCACCTGCCGGACATATCAATGCAGGCAGACTCTTTGGCCTAGACAGCACTCTGTTGCAATCGCTGCCCACTGAGAGGTGTACCAAGGGCTGGAAGGACCTATTTTTTCTCCGTTGGCGACTTCGGTGTTTCAGCGTGCGAAACAGCTTTCAAGGCCAGATCGATCTTTCCGCGGTTGGATGTGCATGCGCTGGAGCAGTAGGCAGCCTGCATTCGATACTGTAGCAATCAATCCCTGTGGGTGTGCAGGAGAATCAGCTGGAAAGCGGTGGTGGGATTGGCCACTACTCGTGCTCTGCAGACAACCAGCTCCTTGCTCAATTGTGTGGCGATGCGGTGGCCTCTGCAGAAGAGATTTGATGTGTGCAAGGAGGCACGTGGCCGCAGCCATGGAGCACCTGGCCAAGGGCTTGCAGCCAAAGTTCATCCTCTCGCTTGGAGCCGCTATGCGAGCACAAGTGGAGTCTCTCGCAACTTGAGGCACTTCCAAGCATCTTAGCCTTTGTTTGTGTCGTCTCCAGGACAACTTCTACATACGAGGGGCCTCTTGGTATCACATCAGCTTTGCGTGCTGGCCCTTTAGTGGGGTTTGACTGTACGGCTCAGAGTCGAAGGTGAAAGACTCCGAAGATCCTCAATTCGAGGAGTCCTTCGCCACTCGGCCGAGAATCGAAGCTTCGTTTCGGACTCGGTTGCCACCAGCCGAGGAGAAGATCTATAGCTATGGTCATCTGAAAGAGATTCCATGGCAGGAGCGGTCTCCCAATACTGCAGGGTAGGTGGCCTTACTGGCCTTACTAGCCTCACTGAACATGCATGACTGCTTTGAATGCAGTCTGCGCACCCTGCAAGATCACCCTGGGAGACCATGATCATCGAGGCAACATTTCTGCATTGTTGCTGCGGCCACAGCGCAATCCTCGGTGGCGGCTGCCATCTCCGTCGCTGGGCAAAAGGTTTGGTGCGAGGTGAGGAGATCCGGAAAAGTGCAGATGCCGCCACTGCAGGTACTATACCTTCGAACTACCTGCAGGGAACAGACATGTGAGGTTCCTCATACTGGATTCTGTTGGCCTCGAGGGCGGCATGCTCGCGCACACCCCGAAGGGGCGGCGCTTTGAGCAGGCCTGCTTGAAGACAGCAAAGCAATGCAAGCAATCCCGATTCTGGCATTCGGCGTGGCACGTGCGATACATGCTGGACTACTACTTAGCAAGTGTACCGGCCCATGTGATTTTTCGACATCATTGACATGTGACTACTGAGACAGGCTGCTTCGCTGCTTCAGAGATGCAGAGTTTGAATTTCTGGCAGGACCTTTCAGAAGATTTTGCGGGAAGGAAGGCTGGAGAGGCACAATGGGGATGGCTTTCTCGAACCCTGGCGCCTTGGCATGACTTTTCCATCTAGTTGAGATGGCTTGCTGCGGCCTGGATTCCTAGATGCGCACAGTGGATGGAGAAGCAGACTCCAGCATACTTGCCTCAGGCCGGCGAGGACGAGTCTGACGACGAGGCATCGTTGCAGGCCTGCCCCGCCCCGCCGCCCAAACTCCACAAGATACAAGTTAAAACAAGTCCAAGGCCATGCTCGGGCAGTTCTTGAGCTTGAGGTCGTCGTGGGACATCGGCCCATCCGAAGTCTGGCCGACCGCGGGAAGCACGGCTCGGCGCCGCCCGAGGCTGCGGTGGCCGAGGCTCTGAAGGCAGCGCTGATCAAGTCATCGAAGCCCGTGCCATGGCGCTAAAGCCAAATTTCACGAGACCTTACTTCGTTAGTTCTTGCACGGGCCGCGGCTTGGCCAAGGTGGTTTACTTACATGGCCATGATCATGTGATGCAGCACTTCCGCGAGAGCGGACAAGAGGTTCACCACCTCGGAAACGGAGTAGGGGGGATGGGCTTGCATCCCCTGAAGAACTGCTCCAATTGCAGCGAGTTCCAGTGGGGCACTTCTGCACATGGCTTTGCCGTGCATGAGCTTGCTAAGAATTTCTTGGCGACCCACTTTGTGGATGCCATGACACAGCAAGTTCTGCACACTGTAACCATTCCCTTCTGAGAGAAAAAATGCGTTCCATGCCATGCCTGGGGACACTGCATTTTTTGAGCCGAAGCCTTGTTCGGAAAGATCCCGAGCCAGAGTGCTGCTTGAACTCGACCTGAGAGCCACTCTTGCAAGATCTTGCAAGACACAGACAACAGCACATCGCCGGGAGCTTGGTGTCAGGAGCTGAACTTGACGCCAGACATCATCTTGGCTTATGGCGGTGTTGCTGACACTGGCTATTGTGATCATGGGCTTGATGCTCCAGTGACCTGCTGCATACAGCAGCAGGTAGGGCTGCGAAAGAGGATGTAGGTTTACGGCGTTTGGTAGCATTCCACAGGTCTGACATCGTCTCCTGCCTTCGGCCCCCCCGACAGGTTCAGTTTCTTCACGTCAGAGGCCTTGACCGTTTGCGACAGCGCATCCAGCAAGATCTCCGGCAAAAGCCTGCGCACCTGCCACCGGGCCTGATTACTGTTTTTTCTTCACGCGTGCGAATGAATCTGTAGTTTCAGAATTGGACATATGGAGCTCACCCTGTGTGGCCTGAGGCTAGTGTGCTTGGAGACAGCCCTGCCGTGCGTCCCTTGTCGGCAAGGTCGGCGTCAGTGCAGTACCCTCAGCTGTTGTTGCAAGGAGCCTCGGCCGAGCATCGGCTTCGTGGTTGGCACATGGTTTGCCAAGCACGTGTCAGAGCGCGGATTTCCTGAAGCCTTCGAAGACAGGACGGCTGCCCTCGCAGTCACGGCATCTCGCCATGCCTCGCTCTGCAGGAGGCAAGGAAGCTTGAGCGAAGTCCTCGCGCTTCTGGCAGTCCTCGATTTTTTGACTGCCGCTGATGGCCACGGGTTCACGGCCACTCGAGTCCTTACAGTAAAAGCCGCACAGCACGTGCCGTTCCTCGCCAGAGCAGAGCTGCGGCTGATCTTCGGCCCGGCAGAAGCAGACCCCGTCCGAGCAACCGCCGTCATGCGTCTTCTACGGCAAGGTGCCTCTGCTCAAGGCGAAGTTGCACATGCTCACATGCTTGCGCTTTCCACTCGAGGTTCAACCGCCGGTGAGGAGCTGCTCCGCATTTTGAAGCAGATGTTGCCTGCGCTGGTGCCCGCCTTAGTCTCGGCCCAGCGGTTTCGCGATGCACCTTTCTACCCCAAGGCCACCGAGGAAGACTTTCAGCAGCTCCGGGAGCCTTGCCAGCTGCTCCTGGCTGCTTCACGCTGCCTCTCAGAGGAGGTGCCATGTTCATAATCAATGCAGCGTGCAAGCTGCAGAAGCTGCTCTTGTGGATCTTGTGGCAGGATCCGGAGGAGGCCGCCAAGCTAGCTCTGGAGATTCTTCGCTTGAAGCCCTCCACGGTGTCTGCCGATGAGCTCAAAGCGCTTGGCGTCGCGCTTGGGGAGCCTCGGCAGAGACAGAAAAGCCTCGGGCGCACTTCTCGGTTCGAAGCTTCAGGACAGGAATCCTCTAGATTACTTTGGTGTGGAGCTACCTGGCCACAAAGCGAGCTGCGCTCTACTCACAGAGGGTCCCTGTGTTCGAAGCGAAGGCTCTACCGGAGTGGAGTTCGGCGCATTCTCGAATGTTTCAGCGCCTGGACAGGCCTCAACTTTCGAAGTTCCCCTGACACTGAGTGATACTCGATACAGTCGATGCTCATTGCCGAAGTGACGGGCATTGCCATTGCTGGTGCCATTGCGACATGTCTGCAGGTGATTCTGCCTTCGAAAAAACGCAGCCGGACATCAAAGCGGCGCTGACAGTGCTGGAAACTACAGCAGCACCATGTTATAACAGTGGCACCCCTTTTTGGGAAAGCAAGCTGCTTGATGGAAGTGGCCATCTCTTGCAATGCGAGAGTCCTGCACCCGCTTGAGATGTCCTTGTAGGCCGTTGCTTTTGCTTGTACGCGCAAGTCAGAATAAGCCATGTTTGTCAAGACGGAAGGTTTGACTCGTTTGCCTGTCCTCATGCAAGCTGCATTCAAGAACTGCGCCGTCACATTGGCCAGAGCTTCCTCGACTCTTGGTCGTCTGGAATGGGAGTATTTTCTTGTGAAGTTGCGAAGTATGCAGAGACTCGTGTAGTTTCATTTGCCCAGGAGCGTCGTTTTGCAAGGCTTCGTGGCCAGTCCTTAGACGCCGGTGTCCCGCCGTCAGTTGTGCGATTTACTTCTCGGACAGTCTACAGGCATTGGTTCCACCTATACTGTACCAGGCAGTCCGCCAGACACCACGAAGGAGCAAACATGGCACCGGCTATTCGATGAAGTTGACACTGATAAGAATGGAGTCATATCGAGCTTCGGAATGCAAGACCTTGGACCGAAGTATTGTGCCGGCGCGTGTGCGTCAGCAGTCGCCGCAGATGTACTAAGGATGGATGAGTGGTGGAAGGCCTTGGAGGATGATTGCAACCGCGAGCTTCGGCTGCTTTTTCAGTTCGAGAATATCAAGATGAAGAAGCTTCTTCGAAAGCTGTTGCTCAGATGCAGCGATATGAGTCCAACCAGGTCAGCAAAGCCCGGTCAAGTCGCGCATAGCTGGACTTGGCACGTCGCTAATATCAGGTTTAAGTCTTCGGTCCACGAAGAAGCAGAGAGCTCCGTGTCGCGAGACGAGTTTGTGCTGGCGTGCAGGACCTGCTGGGGGGGAAACCGTGCGCAATGTTGCCACAACTGCAGCGCAGCGTTGGAACGCTTAAAGACAGGTGAGTCGCTGAAACATGGTCAGGATGGCAGAGCGGGATGAGCTTCTGTGGCACTTCGTGCACATGGTTGCAGGTCATGACATGGAAAGCGCAGACTGCAGGCTCCTTGGCCTGAGGTCCATACTTTTCGAGGTTTTCATACCATGCTCGGATTCTCACTACTGATAGCGCCTTCAGGTCTGTATCAACTGAAGATGTCGCCCTTATCCTTAAATGGAACAGCACCCGGGCTGCAACAGGCACCAGGCAATGCCTGGCCTAGACCCCGAGAAGAAGCCCCTCGAGAAGCGAAGTGCTCAGGAAGCAACATTGAGGAAGGCTTGCGGAAGGAGATGTGGTGTGGCGCAGGCGGAGGCTGAGGGGCTGGGCCTTGCATGGGTCGCTCTTGCATCCAGGAGCACCACATCTTCAAGAACTATTCTGGTCACCTGAGCAACTTGTCAAACATGGCTCACTTGGCATATTTTGACCCAGCTTTACCGAGGCATCTGGCAGAGGCTCGCTGAGAGTCAGCTGGAGGCCCGCGAGTTTGTGATGATTTCGTGGCAGGAAGCACGCGAACAAATAATGGACGGAGCCCGGCTGGCCTTTATTATTTTTTTTCTTCTCCCCCCCC